GCTCCATCGGGGTGTTAATGTTTCACCCTCCCCTCTGCATCCCGCAGGCCGCCGTGCACCAGCCCCAGGGGAGATGGCGGCGGTGGCCGCGTGGCTACTGATGCTGCTGGTGGTGGTGGCCACCCCCCCGGCCCTCTCGGCAGCCCCCCGGCACGCGGCAGTGCTCCCCGACGGCGGGGGCAGCGGGGACGGCGAGGAGGTCTCGGCCGCGCCGCCCGTCCGCCCCGTGACGCCGGGGATCGGCCCGACGGTGGGGGACGCGGTGGGGACCACGGTGACCAACAGCTCGGCGCCCGGGGGCGTGTTGGACGGGCTGGTCGCTTCGCCGGGACGAGCGGTTGGGAAATGCCTCTCGCGCCGGGGCCGGCCCCTCCGCCGCGTCGCCCGTGTCAAAGTTTCCACTGGAAACCTCAAATTATTTTTTTTTTTATTTTTTTATTTTTATACATGCTGCTGGTGGTGGTGGTGGGCTCGCTGGCCTTCGTCCTCCTCTTCATCATCTGCGCCGCCGTCATCGTCCGGCAGAAGCACAAGGCCTCCGCCTACTACCCCTCCTCCTTCCCCAAGAAGAAGTACGTGGACGAGAGGGACAAGGTTGGGGGGGCCAGGGCTTTCAACGAGGTGCCGGAGAAAGCCCCCGACCCCAACGCCGAGGAGCCCCTCGATTGCGGCCGGCAGCTGCAGGCAGACATCCTGGCTGCTGCCCAGAACCTCAAATCCCCCCCCTCCAAGGCACCGCTGGCCAACGGGGCCCGGGGGGAGCAGAAATCTCCCCCCGAGGAGGAAGAGGAGGAGGAGGAAGGAAGCAAAAAGCTGGGCGATGAGCAACCCGCTGAGCCCCCTCCCCAAAATCCAGGCGCTGAGGAAGCGGCGGGGGCAACGGGAGCAGCCCCGGGTGGCCCCCAGGCCCCCCCCAGCAACTAGGGCAGGGACCCCGTGAGCCCGAGGGGCCACCAACTTGGAGGGGGGACACCCTGCAGACCCACAATGGACATGGTGGTTGTTGCTCCATAAAGTACGTGGTGGCTCGAGGAAGCCCCGATGAAGCCCCCCCTGCTGCCCCCCCCCCCGGGGCCCACTGACCCTCACACTTTGGCAAAGCCATGGGGTGGGTTTTTTTGGCAGATGGTGTTTTTGGGCAGTGCCATCTGCCCCGTGGCTCCAAGGGGATTTTCCCATCTCCTCCCAGCTCCAGCTCTGACCCCCCCCCCCCCCCCCCCCCCCCCAACCCCCCCCCCCCCCCCCCCCCCCCCCCCCCCCCCCCCTCCCCCCCCTGCCACACACAGACAGGCACGGAGGCTTTGGCAGGCAGGATTTCACCCACTCCCAACCCCGGCTGCCCGCAGCAGAGAGCCTGCTGCACCGCCGGA